GACTCTTAAGAGTACCACGAGAAAAAAGAATGGAGTTTTGGCGTAATGTTATCAATAGAACGACAGAGTTTTAAATTTCCCGCTTGATTTTCGAACCAAAATGGCGGCAAACCGCGGTACTATGTAAATCTAGGGACTTTAAACTAAGTGACTTAGGCAGTCTATTATGGTATGGTGTCATTATGGAATAGACAACCTAAGCCTTGACGTCACAGGGATGGGTGGAGCTTATACCGACTCCAAACAATTTCGTTGCTAACGATAAATCGCCAAAAAATGTCATTTGAAATGTCATCACTTAGTTTATTTTATTTTAACTCTAATGAAAAATTGCATATGGTGATTTACCGTTAGCAACACAGTTAGCAATGAAAATGTTTGGAGTCGGTATAAGCTCCGTCCATCTCTGTGACGTCAAGGCTTAGGTTATCTATTGTTTGGAGTCGGTATAAGTTCCGCCCACCTCTGTGACGTCAGACTTAGGCAGTCTATTCAAGAGGAAACTGTCTCCGTTACCATAGTAACACACATAACAATAGCCTGTCTGTGTTGCTAACCACAGTTGCTAACGATAAATCGCCATAAAAATGTCATTTAAAATGTCACTTAGTTTATTTTATTATAACACTAATTGAAAAATTGCATATGGAGATTTTTCGTTAGCAACGAAGATGTTTGGAGTCGATATAAGCTCCGCCCATCTCTGTGACATCAAGGCTTAGGTTGTCTATTCCATAATTTGGTTGTCGCTACGTCAAATCTTTTTAAATAAAAGTTTCAATATCTCGAAAATTATGCAGTTTAAAGCATTAAAACCTTATGGCATTTTGCAACACCTTGTCAAAAGGAATCCAAAAACCTTAAAATATACAGAGTGTTTCATTTAAAAAACACACTCACCACGTCGCAACTCAGACTGCCGTCATCATTTTTATTTTATTTCTACGCCAAAATATGCGGAAAATAGTTTCAAGTTACATTTATTTAAAACTTTTTTGAAAAGTTAGTTGACTAAGTTGAAGTTTAGGCTGTAGAATCATTATTCCATCCTTTTTGTACACCCTGTATAAATATGAAAATTTTATGAATTTGTTGCTTTTTCAAGTTATTAATGGTAACATTCGATAATAGGAGCATGTTATAAAAAAACTTTTAGAACAAAAATTGTAGCAAAATTTATTCATAACAATATTGCTCTGTTGCACTTTTGCCCTCACATGCATAGATATCGAGAAAAATACGAAAACCTGAAAATTTGATGGATTTCGTTGTTTTACAAGTTAGTGGTAACACTCTAGAATTGGAGCATGTTACAAAAAAAAACTTTTAGAACAAAAGTTGTAGCATATTTTATTTTCAACAATATTGCTCTCTTACACATTTACTCTTGGATGCGTCAATATTGAGAAAAATACATAAATATGAAAATTTTATGAATTTGTTGCTTTTTGAAGTTATGAATACATTCGATAATCGGAGCATGTTATAAAAAAACTTTTAGAACAAAAATTGTAGCAAAATTTATTCTTAACAATATTGCTCTCTTGCACTTTTGCTCTTGGATGCGTCAATATTGAGAAAAATATATAAATATAAAAATTTTGTAAATTTGTTGCTTTTTCAAGTTATTAATGGTAACATTCGATTATCGGAGCATGTTATAAACAAACTTTTAGAACAAAAATTGTAACAAAATTTATTCTTAACAATATTGCTTTCCTGCACTTTTGCTCTCATATGCATAAATATCGAGAATAATACGAAAACCTAAACATTTCATGAATTTCGTTGTTTTGCAACTTAATCATAACACTTTGGATTTGGAGCATGTTACAAAAATACTTTTAGAACAAAAGTTGTAGCACATTGTATTTTACGCACAAATATTTTATTATTTATTTCAACAATATTGCTCTCTTACACTTTTACTCTTGGATGCGTCAATATTGAGAAAAATATACAGGTGTACAAAAAGTATGGAATAATGGTTCTACAGCATAAACTTCAACTTATATAAAAAAAAAGTTTTAAACAAAAGATACTTAAAACTATTTTCCGCATATCTTGGCGTAGAAATGAAATAAAAATAATGACGGCAGTCTGAGTTATGACATGGCGAGTGTGTTTTTTAAATGGAACATCCTGTATATTTTAAGGTTTTTGGATTCCTTTTGACAAGGTGTTACAAAATGCCATAAGGTTTTAATGCTTTAAACTGCATAGTTTTCGAGATATTGAAACTTTTATTTAAAAAGATTTGACATAGCGACAACCAAATAGACAACCAAAGCCTTGACGTCATTAAAATGGGCGGAGCTTATACCGACTCCAAACATCACCGGTAAATCACCATATGCAATTTTTCATTAGTGTTTAAATAAAATAAACTAAGTTAAAGTCCCTAGATAGAATCTGAGCAATACTGGTTGAAAGTAGACATAAGGCGAGGAATCGCGGAGTTTGAAAGCGCATAGGTATTATAATAGTGTCTTAGAATAGTGACTTTTCACGGGATGGGCGCACTGGAACTTTAAACTGTATCTCAGAGAGCATCGTGGAGCAGCTAACAATACCGTTAATAAGTATAATTAGACATGTTACAAGAAAACTTGTAGAACAAAAGTTGTAGCACATTTTATTTTACGCACAAATATTTTATTATTTATTTCAACAATATTGCTCTCTTACACTTTTGCTCTTGGATGCGTCAACATTAAGAAAAATACATAAATATGAAAATGTAATGAAGTTGTTGCCTTTTCAAGTTATTAATGGTAACATTCGATAATCGGAGCATGTTATAAAAGCTTTTAGAATAAAAATTGTAGCAAAATTTATTCGTAACAATACTGCTCTCTTGCACTTTTGCTTTCACATGCTTAGATATCGAGAAAAATACGAAAACCTGAGAATTTGATAAATTTCGTCGTTTTACAAGTTAATGGTAACACTCTGGATTGGAGCATGTTACAAAAAAACTTTTAGAACAAANTAAATCACCATATGCAATTTTTCATTAGTGTTTAAATAAAATAAACTAAGTTAAAGTCCCTAGATAGAATCTGAGCAATACTGGTTGAAAGTAGACATAAGGCGAGGAATCGCGGAGTTTGAAAGCGCATAGGTATTATAATAGTGTTTTAGAATAGTGACTTTTCACGGGATGGGCGCACTGGAACTTTAAACTGTATCTCAGAGAGCATCGTGGAGCAGCTAACAATACCGTTAATAAGTATAATTAGACATGTTACAAGAAAACTTGTAGAACAAAAGTTGTAGCACATTTTATTTTACGCACAAATATTTTATTATTTATTTCAACAATATTGCTCTCTTACACTTTTGCTCTTGGATGCGTCAACATTAAGAAAAATACATAAATATGAAAATGTAATGAAGTTGTTGCCTTTTCAAGTTATTAATGGTAACATTCGATAATCGGAGCATGTTATAAAAGCTTTTAGAATAAAAATTGTAGCAAAATTTATTCGTAACAATACTGCTCTCTTGCACTTTTGCTTTCACATGCTTAGATATCGAGAAAAATACGAAAACCTGAGAATTTGATAAATTTCGTCGTTTTACAAGTTAATGGTAACACTCTGGATTGGAGCATGTTACAAAAAAACTTTTAGAACAAAAGTTGTAGCACATTGTATTTCCAACAATATTGCTCTCTTACACTTTTACTCTTGGATGCGTCAATATTGAGAAAAATACATAAATATGAAAATTTTATAAATTTGTTGCTTTTTGAAGTTATGGTAACATTCGATAATCGAAGCATGTTATAAAAAAAACTTTTAGAACAAAAATTGTAGCAAAATTGAATCTTAACAATATTGCTCTCTTGCACTTTTGCTCTCATGTGCATAGATATCGAGAAAAATACGAAAATTTGAATATTTCATGAATTTCATTGTTTTACAAAGTAATCGTAACATTTTGGAATTGGAGCATGTTACAAAAAAACTTTCAGAAGAAAAGTTGTCGCACATATTATTTTCAACAATATTGCTCTCTTATACTTTTACTCTTAGATGCGTCAATATTGAGAAAAATACATAAATATGAAAATTTTATGAATTTGTTGCTTTTTGAAGTTATGGTAACATTCGATAATCGGAGCATGTTATAAAAAAACTTTTAGAACAAAAATTGTAGCAAAATTTATTCTTAACAATATTGCTCTCTTACACTTTTGCTCTCACATGCATAGATATCGAGAAATATACGAAAACCTGAAAATTTTATGAATTTCGTTGCTTTACAAGTTAATGGTAACGCTCTGGAATTGGAGATTGTTACAAAAAAACTTTTAGAGCAGAAATTGTAGCACATCTTATTGTCGACAATATTGTTCTATTGTACTTTTACTCTTAGATGCGTCAATATTGAGGAAAATACATAAATATGAAAATTTTATGAATTTGTTGCTTTTTGAAGTTATGGTAACATTCGATAATCGGAGCATGTTATAGAAAAACTTTTAGAACAAAAATTGTAGCAAAATCGATTCTTAACAATATTCCTCTCTTGCATTTTTGCTCTCACATCCATAGATATCATAGAATTTGATGAATTTCGTTGTTTTACAAGTTAATAGTAACACTCTAGAATTGGAGCAGGTTACAAAAAAACTTTTAGAACAAAAGTTGTAGCATATTTCATTTTCAGCAACATATTAAATTGTATAAAATAGCAGATCATGAATACTAAGATTTGGGTAATACGAAATGGAGGGATACTGGAATGATAAGAAGCAGAAGAGTACTGGAAGAGATGGAATAGGGATTGGATGGAAAAAGAGAGGGGTTGAGATGTGGGAGATTAGGAAAGCATTGCAATGGCAAGAAAGATACTAGAAAGAGTACAGAAAAGCTTGAAAATGACTAGTAATAAAAGAAATAAACTGAAGAGAAACTGGAAAAGTAAGAAAGACCATGTACCATGTCATAAAATATACTAAATTAATTAGATTTTTTTGTATTATTACTAACCGTTCTTTTAAAGCTTTTGTGGCCAAAACAACTTCCATAGCTTTATCAGCAACTTCCATAACCATCAAAACATCATCTTTATCATAAACCCTTTTACTTCTAAAATGACCGAAAGATGGAGTTCCTTCCATTATTTTCGGTGGTTCCTTCAAGCTTAATAATTCAACATTTTTACCACGCAATTTTTCCATTCCATATCGACTCGATCTGTGGATATCCTTAAAAATCTCTTTGGATACCTTTACGAACGACTCTCGATTTCTCTTAATTGAATGAACTAAAAAATTCAATCAAATAAATCCTCTTTATTTCATTGAATTAATTAAAAGAAAACTTACCGGTATGATTTTGACCGCTGGAACAACACAAACCACGAGTTCCACCTTTTAAGGTACATTTTTTTAAATTTCCAAGGCGAAAATGAGCAGGACATTGAACCGGATGTACGCAAATTGCGTTGGTTTCCGCACAAATATGGTCGGTGAAAACGTGGATTTTATGAGTTGTTGGGGTGAAAAAATTGTTATTTAATTTGTGGTGTTTCTCTAAATCTCTTCTTACGGATTTGTGATGAACGAATGAATCAATTAAGGGGATGAAAAGGAGTAATAAAAGATTAAAGTACATATTTAAAGTGGATGAGATGAAGTGTTTACAACGACTGAAGTAAAATGAATAAAAATAAAGCAAAAAAACTTGCTTTAAACGAGTTTGATACATAATATTAAAAATATTTTAGATTTTGTAACCAAGGAAATGATTTTAAATAATTTTTAATTAATTTCTCAAAATTTTTAGTTTGACAATTTTATTTTTTTTTTAAGAAATGTCAATGTTTTAAAAAAATGGAGCCGAATAAATCGTTGAATGAAAATTTTATGTACAACAGCATGTTGGCGAGAGCTTTGATATTATTAGTCCCACCAAATGGTAAATTAACAAAAATAATTAACGCAAAATAAAATTAATTTCTTCAATTAGAACGAGATCTTTTAAGATTATGGATAACGAAATTACACGAAGTCGAAGAAACCGTCGAAAATTTACGAAGAAGAAACGAATACATGTGGTTTTTATTGTTAATGTTGCAAAGTAAACAGCTTCAGATGCCTTTTATTTCAGCCCCACCAGTAGGAGATTTGAGAGATCTTAGAGATCTTTTGGTAACAAAATTGATATTTTTGAATAAATATTTTAAACTATTAATTTAGGCAACGGATGTTTATGAGGATGTGTTAACATCAACTGATTTGTCTTGGTTGGATACGATTCCTTTGACAAGTAAAGAACCTACGGGTCCAACAAAAACATATCCAAGAGCACCTCCAGCTGAATTTATGAAAAATCAACCGATTCCTTTTAATGGGATGATTTGTTATCTTGCAGCTTTTAGCGACCATGATTTTTAAATGATATTATGATTCCAAAATCAACATTTTGTAAATAAATTATTTTAGTAAAATACATTTTGAAATTTTTGGGATTTTGAAGCCTCTGCGATAAACGATAATAGCGACAATACTAGCAAAACAACGAAATTGCAACGTTCTTTGCTATTATCAGGTGTGGTCAGCAATGTATACAGAAAAATGTATAATTCTATATCTCCAATAGTAATAGTATTTAAATTGGATTGCGACAAAGATACGTTTTAAATATTTTCAGCAAATTCTTTTGGTATTCCAGTATTACTTGGGGTGATATTTTTTGCTTTGGTTGTGCTTGTTTCTTGAACGTGATTAACCGCTTTCTCTATCAATGAGAATATTATGTAGCAAACAGATACACTTAACAATATCATCAGCTACATTTGTAGATGTTTGTATCGCTGTTCCTAGAATTCTCCCCTTAGTATACAATATTTCAAAAGCACAATCAACAGTTCTGCGTGTTCTTGATAATCTAGCATTAAAGTAGTCTTTATCTGTTTCAATTCATTGTCTTCTCTAAGGTTTCAGTAGATTAGGGAGAAGTGGAAAGGCTTCATCACCTATAATAACATGGGGTAGAGTGATGTATATTCCATGAATTTTGCAGGGTGTTGCCTTAAGTGTTTATAAAGGTGATGAAATTCTCCAAACGTATACCATTTGGTATTTATTATATTATAATATTAAATGAAACGTTACCTACAAAGCAGAGACCGTCACTATTATCAACGGTCTACTATAAACAGCATCATAGAAAAGAATTTTACTCCAACGTTTTTTTTTTAGCTCCAACGTAAACGCACCCTAATTGGATTATAATCGGTTATGGATAACGTTTTTTTGCTTCATTATAAACAATTTTTATCAACATCATTTTGTTTTATCATTTTTCGTTTTCGAATTACACTGTTGGAAATAATTCACGAGCACACCCTATATAATCTGAACGCGTGAAGATAAATCCATAATATTTGCGGAGCACAAAGGTTTACTGTAGACGAGTTTATTGAGGGAGTTTCGAGTTGTTCCGTCGCGGCATTTTTGACTGAGCCGCCCTTCCAAGTGGAACATTCCGTCGCTATGGAGACCGAAGTGGATGGAAAATACCGGTCGTTTTTAGTGTGGTGTGAGGCATAGAAAAATTTATATATATTATGTATATAGAAGGTCATCTCCCCACTATTTTTTGGTACATTCAGCGCTCCCAAGGGGATTGTGAGGGAACTAATTAGGTTAAAGCGCGAAATTTAAATATAGGTATTTCTATACCGGTTTATACCAATACTTTATTTTGAAGAGGTCAAGTACATTTTACAAATAAATGCAAAAAAATATGTATTTAAAGTTTTTCCAAGACAAAATTCATAATTTTAAATATAATATATATTGCTCTCATTGGCTAAGAGCGCCAATTTATCTATCGGATAAAGTTATGAAGAGGTGGTAAAAGTGGCCCTAGCTTATTTAAACACTTAACTAAAGGATATAAAACACAAAGCCAAAGGAAAGTAAGGAAGAATATTTGCTTATACAACGGGGTTATCACCAGTTATCACATCAAACGACAAAACAAAAATGTGACGTTTGCTTTCACCTTTGAGTTTGACCATTTCTATGGTTGCAAGCGCTTTGTTTGTGTGGATAATGCAGATTGCTACAAATTCAGTCTACAACGTCATCCAGTGGATTGTGAGGGTACTAAAACCTGGGTCTACATTTTTATAGTAGTAAGATTACACACCATGGTGTGAGGGACCACATTGTTATCGTACTCTGTGCGCAATGGAAGGGCGATCGCGTTACTTAAGCGAGTTTGAGCGAGGAATGTTTGTGGGTATGCACATTGAAGGTGTATCGTTCCGTGAAATTGCGCGTCGTCTCGAGCGGTCGTTATCGGCAGTGCAACGAGTATAGCGAGAATGGTCTGAGGTAGGACATAGGTACCTACAGCCGCGGCCGGGACGGCCCTGCGCGACCACAGGACACGAGGATCGCACTCTTGTGCTCCGCGCTTTAGCGTCGTGTGCGTCCTCCTCAAGGCAACTTGGAGCTGTTTGGCCACTGGCAGGGGAAAGCGCACTCACTACGCGAACTGTGCGGCGGCGTTTGGTAGATAGTGGACTGGCGCGCGCGTCGTGCGATACGGCGGATTCCAGTAACACCCGAGCACCGCAGCATACGTCACGAGTGGGTCGACGCTAGGCATTAGTGGGTTGCCGAGTAGAGGGACATTTTGTTTTCCGATTAATCAAGATTCCAATTGAGCACTGGTGATGCGCGAATTTTAGTTCGTCGGAGCCGTGATGATCGTCTACTCGAGCAGTGTGTGCAAGAACGCCCTATCCACCGACAACCGAGCACTATGGTATGCGATTACATATGGTGGACGTACACGTCTGCTGCGTGTATAGCAGACCATGACGGGTTAATGATACGTAGATGAGGTGCTACGGTCCGTTGTGCTTCCCTATGTTCGGCGGCTCCCATGTCTGCTATACATGCACGACAACGTACGACAGCACATCGGGCGTGTTGTACAGACCTTTGTGGAAGAGCACCGTATACGAATACTTCCATGGTTAGCTCGGTTTCCGCATCTGAATCCGATCAAACATGTTTGGGACATGACTGGTCGGAGACTTCTACGTTATTCGGCTTCCTCGGCTAACGTTGAGGAGCTATGGAGGCGAGTTGAGGTGGCATGGTTGGCCATCCCTCTCGCTACAATATAGCGACTTATAGACTCCATGCCACGTCGTGTAGCGATGGTACGCGAAGCTCACGGGGGATACTCTCGCTATTGATGTTTCTCCTCCCAGCAGAGTTGTGCCGTTTTCCATGTGAGAGTAAGTTATGCTACTTTAGTACTACTTCCATACCAAATTTTATCGCGCTAGACACACGCGTTCAGATTATACAGGGTGTGCTGGTGAATTATTTCCAACAGTGTATAATAGAGAAGTTAATCCAAAAATCAAAATTTGATGAATTTCGTTGTTTTACAAGCTATTAATAGTAACACTTTGGAATTGGAGTATGTTACAAAAAACTTTTTAGAACAAAAATTGTAGCAAAATTTATTCTTAACAATATTGCTCTCTTGCACTTTTGCTCTCACATGCATAGATATCGAGAAAAATACGAAAACCTAAAAATTTGATGAATTTCTTTGTTTCACAACTTAATGGTAACACTCTGGAATTAGAGCATGTTACAAAAAAACTTTTAGAACAAAAGTTGTAGCAAAATTTATTCTTAACAATATTGCTCTCTTGCACTTTTGCTCGCACATGCACAGATATCGAGAAAAATACGAAAACCTGAAAATTTGATGAATTTCTTTGTTTCACAACTTAATGGTAACACTCTGAAATTGGAGCATGTTACTAAAAATCTTTCCAAACAAAAGTTATAGCACATTTTATTTCCAACAATATTGCTCTCTTACACTTTTACTCTTAGATGCGTCAATATTGAGAAAAATACATAAATATGAAAATTTTATAAATTTGTTCATTTTTCAAGATAATGGTAACATTCGATAATCGGAGCATGTTATAAAAAAACTTTTAGAACAAAAATTGTAGCAAAATTTATTCTTAACAATATTGCTTTCTTGCACTGTAGCTCTCACATGCGTAGATATGAAGCAAAATACGGAAACCTGAGAATGTGATGAATTTCGTTGTTTTACAAGATAATGGTAACACTTTGGAATTGGAGCATGTTACAAAGAAACTATTAGAACAAAAGTTGTAGCAAAATTTATACTTAAAAATATTGCTCTCTTGCGCTTTTGCTCTCACATACATAGATACCGAGAAAAATACGAAAACCTGAAAATTTGATGAATTTCTTTGTTTCACAACTTAATGGTAACATTCTGGAATTGGAGCATATTACAAAAAAACTTTTCAAACAAAAGTTGTAGCACATTTCATTTCTAACAATATTGCTCTCTTACACTTTTACTCTTAGATGCGTCAATATTGAGAAAAATACATAAATATGAAAATTGTATAAATTTATTGCTTTTTCAAGATAATAGTAACATTCGATAATTGGAGCATGTTATAAAAAAACTTTTAGAACAAAAATTGTAGCGAAATGTATTCTTAACAATATTACTCTCTTGCACTGTTGCTCTCACGTGCATAGATATCGAGAAAAATACGAAAACCTCAGAATTTGATGAATTTCGTTGCTTTACAAGTTAATGGTAACACTCTGAAATTGGAGCATGTTACAAAAAAACTTTTAGAACAAAAGTTGTAGCAAAATTTATTCTTAACAATATTGCTCTCACATGCATAGATATCGAGAAAAATACGAAAACCGGAAAATTTGATGAATTTCTTTGTTTCACAACTTAATGGTAACACTCTGGAATTGGAGCATGTTACAAAAAACTTTTCAAACAAAACTTGTAGCAAATTTTAGTTTCAACAATATTGCTCTTTTACACTTTCACTCTTAGATGCGTCAATATTGAGAAAAATACATAAATATGCAAATTTTATAAATTAGTTGCTTTTTCAAGATAATGGTAACATTCGATAATCGGAACATGTTACAAAAAAACGTTTAGAGCAAAAGTTGTAACAAATTTTATTCTTAACAATATTGCTCTCTTACACTTTTGCTCTCACATGCATAGATATCGAGAAAAATACGCAAATGTGAAAATTTTATGAATTTCGTTTTCAGCCTTTTGTAATGACTGAATTATATCAAGGATGCCCATAGGTGTTAGTGCAAATATTCGCAGTGTTGAGAAGTCAGACTGGTTTCCACCCAACGAAACCATTTGTGTTACACTTTATTGCGATAAGTGTAATAGCAAACTGCATATTTGTTGTATCTATATTCCTCCTAATGATAATGTTGCATTAAATGTATTTTGTAATGAATTGAAGGGACATTCCAAACTATCTCGGGCAAGTTGAAATCTACACAAATCAAGAATTTATCATCACGGAAGCGGTCAACTATGTGTCTCAATAATTGAGACACATAGATTTCAACTTGCCCGAGATAGTTTGGAATGTCGATGGTTCTGGAATGTGTACTGCCTCTCCTGCTAGTCCACGTTCGGCTGATTTCTTAGACGTCCTTTCACTTTGTGAATTTAACCAACATAGTTCTTTTAGAAATATATCTGGCAACACGGTAGAATATATTTGGTCTTGGAGCGCTTTGTAACTTTATCTAGAATTTAATTGAGTGTTTCTTCTCTACTTCCAGAAGACGTAGTTTATTCGTCACATGAGTTGGCGTTTTCTTTTTGGCCTTTCTTTTCAAATATATAGGAATATCGCTCTTAAAGATGTTTCTAAGTTTGCCCATCGGTGTATCATCCTTCTGTTTAGTTCGCTTGTTTAATTAGTTTGATTTATCCGCTGTAGTAATTGGGGTTAAGTGTCACTTATGATATTTATTAATACCAAATTTGAAAAAATTATATCTCAAAATATACTTGAATTGATATCTCAAGTAATTTTTGATTGAATCAAAAACATTTTTTCAAAATTTATATTTATTAACATACAAAATAAAAAAATATTATACTATAATTTTATATTATTCGAGTGATTTCATATCAGTTTTTGGTAAGAAAAACGTAATCACTGTAGAAACCAGCACAAAACCGCCGATTGTAAAAAACGGTTCCCAACATCCCAGTTGTAACAACATGGGAAAAGTAATATTTCCAACCATAGATCCAGATCTTCCAGCCATCATAACCATTGAAACAGCGATTGTTCTTAAAGTTGTTGGAAATAAATCAATTACAATTGTTATTAAAATATTGCTACAAACGCCCAAAGAAGCGTTACTCAACGATGTCAAAGTGGTTGTTGTTGCAACGCTTTGTGCAAAATAAATTGAAACCCCACTTATTGTTCCTAAAATGCCTAAGAAAACTGGATAAGAAAAGTTAAATTAGTAATTTTAATGATTTTTTTAATATTTTTAATTAATTTACTGAGGATGGTTTTCTTTCCTAATTTATTTATAAATATTCCTGCTAAAGTATAAAATATCATATTAACAATGTTTATAATTACAACGTTGAAGTAAACGGAATCTCTGGAGTCAAACTAAAAATAATATTAAATCATCATTTAAATTTTTAATAAGATATATTTACCTCTAAACATTCAGATTGACTAACATCAACATTAGAAGTAATCGATCCCAACATTGTACATAAATTAGCATCTTTATCATCAGGATAAGCTGTTTGATAATCGTTTATTGTTGTGTACAATTGAGGTAACCATAATCGTAATGTATTTAAACTACAAAAATTTTAATTAAAATTAATTAATTAAAAAAATTATTTTACCTCGTTAAAAATCCTGTTTGTATCAAACACGTTAAGGTTAAATTTTTTAAATGTGGAGATTGAATCAGAGGTTTCATTTGCAAAAATCCTTCTTTTAAAGCTTTCGCTGACGATCTATTTGCTGTAACTGTGTTTGTGTTACTTTCTTTGATTTCATCGATTAAGGATTGGATCTAAAATGATTTTTCGCATTAATTAATTACTCCGGTTCGATTTGTGCATCGTTAAAGAGCGGATGTATTTTGCGATCGTGCAAGAGTTTTATTTTACGCTTTATAAATCGTTTATAGATGATTAAAAAATGTAAAATATCTGATCTATCAAATCTGGCGTAAAAAACAAAACAAAGGTATTACTACAGTGATGGGCGCTGGGTAAATACCCGGCGGGTAGGTATTTACCCCGGCTCAGGGTAAATACCCAAACAGTACATATAAAAGTGATACAAGTAAAAATATAACAGANTCCAAGACTATCCGAAATAAGTACTATATCGTCCGCGTAGCGCAAATTACTTAGGTATTGCCATCAATGTTTATACCTTTTTGGGTTCAATCCAGTTGTTTAAATGCACTCTCCACGACTGTGATGAACAATTTGGGTTCAACAGGGTTCAACATTATATTGCCTTCTCTTACCCCACGCCCAATGAGTATTCGGTCAGTACTTTCATGCAATTTTACCGTCATTGTAACATTCTTGTAAATGCAATAAATAAGTTTTGTGTATCGATAATGGACTCTGCATTCTTGAAGTACTTGCAAAACTGCCATCAACTCAATTTAAATCAAATTTTACAAATACCTCTAAATACCCATCTTGTGTAAATACCTCCGGGTATATATCCCTTGAAAATAAATACCCGGGTATTTAACAACACTGTATTACTACCTCCACCAATATTAACTTATAATGTCAAACATTATGATGAAATTTATAAATTACTTAAAAGCGTAATTAAAGATGGATTTTTAACACACATTCAAAAAAAATTATTTTCTTCCACATTCGGAAGAAAAGTACAGAGAAGCATCAAAGACTTACTGAAAAGAATTTGTCCTGGTCAACTTATGAAAATAAACACACCAGAAATCTGAAAGTGGTCGCTAAAAAGATGCATAAAAGCTGTGGTGTTAATGATATCAAAGATGATCTATTAGAGCGCAAGTATAACATTTGTAAAGTAACCTAAATGTTAAAATACCAAACAAAAGAGCCTCTTCTTTTATACATCTTGGATTTTGCACCCAGCCCCGGATCTAGGGGGGGGGGCAAGCCGGGGTCTATGCCCCGGACGGCAAGTTCATCATTTACTTAACTTTGACCACGGAATACATAATACAAGTATGTTTTATGTGGTACAGGACGTTGGCTAATTGCGAAAGGGTTAGAAGATCTTGGCTTATATTTTCTAAGACAAAAAATGTAATTTTTTGTGCGTGCTGCAATTTTTACCAGAAACCGTCTTCTACCGCCACATCTGCATTGTGTTCTACAGGGTTTATTAATTGGAAAAAAATTTCAAAGAGATTAACCGAACACGAGGCAACTCAAATGCCCAAAGAGTGAAATCATGCCAGGGTATTGATCAAGACAATGAGAGAGTAATTCACTCAGAGAAAGAAAAATGGAGACAGATCCTGCGTATTGTTATGGATGCTGTATTGTATCTATCCACAAACTGCCTTTGCCACAATGTCCTCAGTCAAGGTAACTTCTTGAACTTAATTTCCCTGCTCGTCAAACATAATTCAACTCTTAAGTTTCAATTAGAACACTTAAAAAAGGAACAAGTATCATATTTATCAAAGACAATACAGAATGAAATAATTAACATAATGGCAAAAACAGTTAGAAATAGCATTTTAAATTACATCAAAGAAGCCAAATACTACACGATAATGTTCGACTGCACTCCAGATGTATCCCATACAGAATAAATGAGCCAGGTAATTCGATATGTAAAAAGAACTGGCGATGTGTGTGAAATAAGAGAAAGTTTCATTGATTTCATAGAAATTGCTGGAAAGATAGGAGAGGACATTAGTCAACAGATTTTAGAAAAATTTACAGTTGATGATTTAGATATTGGACAATGTCGTGACCAATCTTATGATAATGGGTCCAACATGGCCGGCATCCATAAAGGAGTACAAGCCAGGATTGCAGAAAGGAATGAGCTGGCCGAGTTCGTACCGTGCTTGACTCATTCCTTAAATCTTGTAGGTTCTACCTCATCATGCCAGGAAGCTATTAACCCATTTGGACTGATTCAAAAAGTATATTGCTTTTTTGTTGGCTCCACTACTAGATGGGACATACAAGTTAAATTATGACAAGACCATAGATTTATTTGTTGAACAAAAAGCTCGAAGAGTAAAATTGTAATTGCAATTCATAAATGCAATAATATATTTGATTTTTATTTTTATTATACATATTTTTATTTTAAATCCTATCCTGTACTGTGTATAAAATATATATCCTACACGTTCATGTCTATATATCTGTAAATAAATAGGCTTAACACAGAAAGAACAGCGATGGATGCATTATTTCCGGAAGGCCTATGTAGGCTATGTCCAAATGTCAATCAATTAGTGGACATCTTATAACTGAAATTATATAGATGATAAAGCACCGTGAGAGGATGCAAAAAGATTCCATGAAATAACAAACATATTAGGAACGCGTGTCAAAATCGAAGAGTACAGAAAGCCAAAACAAATGCTCCAGTGCAAAAGGTGTCAAGGTTGGAGCCACACCAAAGCTTACTGCCACAAAAATCCGAGATGTGTTAAATGTGCCGGTGAACACTGGAACAGCGAAAGCACTAAAGCCAAAAAAATCCCGGCTAAATGTTTCAACTGTGGACAAAATCATCCAGCGAACTACCGAGGATTTTTGTGGCAGTAAGCTTTGGTGTGGCTCCAACCTTGACACCTTTTGCACTGGAGCATTTGTTTTGGTTCGCAAAAATTGTCATACGAGCGCAGCAAGTTACACGGCTACAAATGTCATTGCTCGGTATAATAAACCTTTTCAAGAGGAAGAGTTTTTGAAGGGAGTCTGGTTAGCATGCGCGCCCTCTCTTTTTGATGATTTCGATAATAAAGATAAGATAATTCAGCGCATCAAAGATACTCCTCTGTCCAGAAACACAATAAAAGAAAGAATCTTAACTGGCCGAAAATGTAACAGATCAACAACAGATCACATTAAACATTTCTTTAGAAAAATGGCACGTTGATACGTAAAGGTTCGCCATCCCTGATATAGGCCAATCTGATTATTACCATTACTATCAAAATTGCTTGAAAAATTACTATTTCCGTCGACCGTGTATTTATATGATTTATAAATGTATACAAAATCATTCATTAATGACACCTATTAATAAACGATTTTCTATTAATAAACGATTTTAAGAAAGTCCGACCGAACTAATAATTCTCAATAATTAACGCGTTCGCTTCGCTCGCTCACGCGTTAAAATATCTCGATAATTAATCGCCTTCATTAATAGACTTGTTGGTTAAATAACTATTAACAAGACTAAAATTTGTCATAGAAAAGAAAACCTAATACCAACACATCAATTTGGGTTTCGGAATAAACATGCAACAATAGACCAAGTGCATAGAATAACGAATACTATCAAAAAGCAATGGAAGAAAATAAAGTCCGCTCCGCCGTATTTCTGGATGTTGCACAAGCTTTCGACAAAGTCTGGTTAGATGGCTTAAATTACAAACTAGACCAAATACTACCATCAACGTATAGTCAACTATTAAAATCGTATCTTTCTGCTTGATATTTTACAGTAAAATACGAAAACGCTTATTCACCACTACATGAAATACGTGGAGTTCCTCAAAGAAGTGTGCTTGGCCCAACACTGCACTTACTCTACACATTCGACCTTCCTCATGTACCAGAAACTTTAACAACTACATTCGCAGATAACACAGCGATCTTGGCTGTTGCAGAAAATGAAATAGTTGCAGCAAATAAGGTACAATTGGCCTTAAATTCAATAGAAAACTGGACCAAACGATTGACTAATAAAACTAACTACAAATAAATCGACATATATAAACTTTACTTATAAGAAAGTAAACTATGTCCCAGTAAACATAAATGGCGATGCAGTCCCTTACGCCCAGAGGCGGCGCTACCGGGGGGTGTAAGGGGTGCACTGCACTCGGGCGTCGCCTAAAAGGGGGCGCCGGCGCCTTTTTAATGTTTTCTCCAACATTATCTTATCTTTCTTTTGCAGTATTTATACCTGTCAGCAGTATATAGTCTTCAGAAAGCAGTATTTAGTCTCCACAAAGCAATTTTAGTCTTTAGAAAGCAGTATTTAGTGTTCCAGACGCTGTATTTCGACCTGTCGGCAGTATCTAGTCTTCAGAAAGCAGTATTTAGTTTTTTAGGAGCACTATCTAGTCTTCTGCCAACGTTATGTATGTTTTGTTCTTGACACTGACAGCAATTTCTGTCTGGGTGTCTATCATCATCTTTTTGGGACCCTCTTATTATCTATACGGATCTTGTACCACCCGGTACCTCATTTCTGCAGCTGTCACTTTGCTTTTCTGCTTATCCTGTATTGCAGTGGTGTAACTACGGGGTCGCAAAAGGACGCAAAAATTTAAAGATTTTAATTAGAAGTACAAAAACTGTTGTTAAAAGTATACATTAATAAAATTTTGTGTTTAAAACTTTTTAAAATTCCCAAGAACGGGTAAAAATCTTTTTTTTTTTCAATATACAGAGGTTTGACACAGTTTGAATTCAATATACAGTGTGATTCAAAACTAAAGCACCAAACTGGAAGCCCGTGTAGAACTTCTGATTTCAAGTCGAAATGAAACCATTTTTTCCGATCGGTCTTTGTTTTCGAGATAATCGACTTTAAAGTTTTATTTTCAGTGTTGTAGGTAACAACTGAAAGTTTTATAAAAGCAAAACGTAGCTGAAGTTTGGTGCTCTACTTTTAAATAGCCCTGTATTCACATTACTTTAATATTGTATAACTGTATAATACTGTTAATACTGTATATGGATATGTTCATAAATATGTGCTTACAAAATTACAAAATGTATGTATTTGTTTTAGTCCATAAANAATGTAATTCCTGTTTTTTGCTGAAGTCTAGTTTATAACTATTGCAATTTCAGACTTTTTCTTGCAAATTAACCTTCTGACCAGAGTATTCCCGACTATTCCCTTAAGTTTGGTTTTTCACTAGTATAATTCTTAAATTTTTGCTGAAGTATGGATTATGATTATTCTTTTTTAAGTTTATTTATATTTCTTTGATTATATATATTTTTTTTTAATTAAAATGCATTTTTTTATTTTTTTAAATTAAAATTAATGAAAATATCTTGGTATCACGCTGCATGGCAAGCTCAAATGGAAAGCTCACGGCAAAAAAAAAACGTGAGGAATTTGATACCAAATTTAGACATTTATATTGGCTTATTGGCAGAAAACCAACACTATCACTAAGTAACAAGTTGCTAATATACAAGCAAGTATTAAAACCAAAATGGACATACGAAATCCGACTGTGTACCTGCAAGCTTGTACCTGCAAGACAAATGCAAGTCTGATTCAAAGGTTCCAAAACAAAGTACTATAGTGAATGCACCCTGGCATATAAGAACCGACCTCCATCGCGACTTGAAAGTTGCATCGGTGTCATGAGAAATTGCATCATTCGCAACTAAACATGAGAAGAGAATGCACGATCATCTCATCTAGCTTCTCGACAACGAGGATGTCTTGCGTCGCCTTCAGAGGATGAAGGCGAAAATATGACATTTCATAACTTTATCTTATTAATATATAGAAGAAATATATAGAAAAAAAATAATAATTACCGGGTACGATTTTTTGGATTTCCCTGTATTTAGCGCATAAACTTTTTGTAAAACTTGAAGGGCTTCTTCGTTTCTTCCAGTCGTCATAAGAAATTTCGGACTTTCCGGAATAAAAAGGTGACTAATGCAACTTAAAATACTTGGAAGCGATGATAAAATAATAAAAAAATTCCACGGGCGTAATTCGAATTTGTTTTCAACAATGATAACTTTCCAATTTGTTGGGAGAATTAGCCAAGCCATTAACGGAAGAATTAAGTTTCCTACTGCGTAAATTATTCCTAAGATTAACATCACTTTAGCTCGGTATTGTTTTGCGTGAAATTCAGATAAAACCGTTGTAAATGCAGCGAAGGGGCCGTTAATTCTAAAATTGAGAATAAATTAAGTTTAATCAAGTTATAAAAAGAAACTTACATGAACCCCGTCATGTATTTAGCGGCTAAAATCATTTCGTAAGTTTGCGAAAGTCCTGCTACAATGATGAAGAAAGCATCCAAAGCGAATCCGATGATTAAAAGTTTTTTTCTTCCTAAAGTATCTGATAGAAATCCCCAAAGAAAAGCGCTCGAAATCATCCCAAAATAAGTTATGGCATTCAACATCCCTCTTTGTTCCAAATTTAAACCTAAATCGCAATAAACTGATGGTAAAATATACGACATGGTTGTTGCATCGCAAACTGTAGCCCATCCACAAGGAACCGCAATTAAAATTAATAAAAGATTAAATTTCCCAAATTTAGTTGCCGAAATCGCCGTTTCAAAATCAGCCTCAAAAACTTAAAAAAAAATTAAAATTATTAAAAATAAATAAATCAAACTTACTTGAATTTTGATTTGTATTGCTCTTAAATTCTTCGTTTTTCCGCATCATTTTCGGAGGTTTCATCTTGTTATAATAAATTTAACGCACAAATGAATGTGATTTAAAGGAATTTCATGGGCACTTTTTCCGTCTCGAACTTTCCATTGTGAAATTGAGGGACTATTGTTTAAAGTTTTGTCAACACTTTTAGCTGGTGCATACTGCTTTAATTATAACAATGTTAAAAAAAATTTTTATAGCTTAAACGTTTCCGCTTATCTTTTAACAATTATTTTTAAAACGGATTAAAATTGCTTTATTAAATTTTATTTAAAAAATAAGTAAAGAATTAAATCCGAGAATTGTATTAAAAACTTTATGTTGAAGGGACAGTTTCTGAAGTCATTTACGTTTTATTTAACCCATTCCAGAAATATTTGGCCTGGGAGTTTTAAGTGAAACACCCTGTATATATTTAATATAATTAAATAAATATTTAAATACAGGATGCGGCAAAACTCTCTACCTAATTTGAAGGTTCAATAAAAAACAGATGGTAGAAATTAACGAAACTGTATTAACCCGAATCGAATCTACAGAATGGGAAATTACGCTATTATGTTTTACAAGTTTCTTTCTTTGAACAGTATATTGCTCAAGTGTTTTCCTTCGTTATCAATGCATTGCCGAATGCGAGTTCGGAAGTTACCGTTATTGGAGTGCACAAAATCCTCGGGAAATCCATGAAAAGCCTCTGCATAGTAGACGTGTTACCGTGTGGTGAGTGATTAACAGTGTCGCGATCATCGGCCCGTACTTTTTTGAAGAAGGATACAATCAAATGCTTCAAACTTCTATGGCACCACGATTCAATGCGATACAGATTCAACAGAATGAGTGGCTTCAGCAAAACGGGGCCACTACTCACACAAGCAGGAGATCTCTTCAAGAACTGAGGCAGCTGTTCCCAGAACGCTTGATGTGTTTGCGCGGAAACATCCGCTGGCCAGTACGATCTCCAGACCTAACTCCCTATGATTTTTTTGTGTGCGGGTTTCTTAAGGCTGAAGTTTACAAACATCGTCCGAGGAGTCTGCCAGCCCTACGACAAACGATTCAAGAAGAGATTGCTCGTATTCCTCAAGAAATGTTGATTAGAGTAATGGCGAACTTTCGAACTCGCATTCGGCAATGCATTGATAACGAAGGAAAACACTTGAGCGATATACTGTTCAAAAAACGAAACTTGTAAAACAAGATTCCATTCATGTTAATACAGTTTCGTTAATTTGTACCATCTGTTTTTTATTCAACTTTCAAATTAGGGAGGGAGTTTTGCCGCAGCCTGTATATTAAATATAATAAGTTTAAAAAAATTGTTTTTGATTTATTTGTAGAAATGTTAAAAATGTTCAAATTATCCTAAATAACGAGTTTTTAAATCAACTTGATACCTCAATTATTTTTTGAGATATAATTTTTTCAAATTTGGTGCTAATAAACTTCAAGGTCTGTTGAGTATTGGAGGAAAAGTATAATATAATATACAGGTGTCCATTATATGTGGAATCTAGTATATATCTTGGTAAGTATCAACTTTATAAAAAAAAACATTTTATACAAAAAGTTGCTTAATATTTTGTTTGCCATAATAAGACAGTATTCAATTGTTTTTATTTCAGAAAACAAATGAGCAACGTGTTATTATGTTATCAAGTGTTATTCAGTTGAAGTTTTTTAAATGGCAATGTATCCTTTCGTTAGGCTCATTTGATAGAGATTTGTTTTCTCTTGATGACGTAAAATTTTAGTACTCTTTAGACACGTGCGGCTAAACCCGAATGATTCTAGTTCTAGATCTAATGTTAGTTCTATTTCAATAAAAATAGACAACAATTTAACGCTTAGTAACAATTAAAACTAGAACTAACACTAGACCTAGAACTAGAAAAATTCTTGAATGTTTCTAGTTGTAAGTCTAGTGTTAGTTCTAGTTTTAGTGCAATAAAAATATACTATATTTGGACTAATTTTAAAGGTTTTTTTAATAAAGTATACATCGTGAAAGAACACCATGAAGTTGTCCATTATGTGATAACTAACTTCAGATTTAAAATGTCAACCTCAATTTTGACATATTTGTAATCTTCTTTAAAAATCCTTTAAAATGAGTACAAACACGACGTATTTATCTTCAATATTAGTGAAGTTATGGTCAACTTCCGGTTTGAAATGTCAACATCAATTCTGACATATTTGTAATTATCGTGAAAAATTCTTTAAAATGAGCCCAAACATGATACGTTTAGGCAGCTTACACACTACTGCAACGCAACTCGCACGACCGACTCAACCAACTAGTTGCAAGAGATCGATGTTTTCACATTGTTGTACAATCGATGCGACTATAATCTAGTCAAAATGGAGCCGTCAGAAGATGAGGATGTTATTATTTCTTGGTATTTTCGTAGGAGAAAGAAAAGACGTTTCTGGGTGCACCCGTATTTTGCAGAAAATTTTGAACGAAGAATGTTTGTAGCTGCAAGGGAACTCCATGACCCGGTTAAATTTAAATCTATGTATAGGATGAGTCCAACAACCTTCTTAGAACTACTTGAGCTAATTACTCCTGTCATACAAAAAAGGGATACCAGTTTTAGGAGGTGCATTACAGCAGATGAAAAACTTCTAATAACGCAGAGGTAAGTTTATTAAAATATATTTTTTTCACATTTAAATCTAGAAGATGTTACAATGTTTGATACAAAACAATTTACAAATTAGTTAAATTTTGATAATAGTCTGCTAAGTGTCCCCTCGGTCAGATGGAGTAGAAGTGTACACATGAGTACCGTATGGTTGAGAAGGGGTAGGAGGAGCATTGTGCTGGACATACGATGTGGGTGTGGGTGTATCATCTAATAATGAGTCCAAGACTTCCAAAACTTGTCTTCGAAATTGACGCATTTTTTGTTCGCTTAATTTTTGGACGTCAGGAAGCAAACTCAACAGAAACATTCTTCGAGGATTCTCTTCTTTGGGCTGCCTGCGTTTCTCTTCCAGGTATTTAACAAAAGCATCATCAACTCTGTTCGTTTGCTGCTTGGGTCTTTTGAAAGATGTTCCTGGAACTTCTAGATCTCCTTGTTCACTAGGATTATTTGAAGAGCCATCTTCATTGGTAAGTTNACATACACTTCCTTCTGTCTTCAAGGCTCTGGAGTCCATAACGATGTGAGAGATATGGATAGTTCAATTCCCCTCGAGGCGGATAATGACCAAAGTCCAGGAAATGCATGAATCTAACAAATTTACGTTGTACCATCTCGATGGTGGTGATGTACCTTAAATAAGATGGTGACCAAACAATACAACAATATTCAAGTTTGCTTCTTACGAGTGTAAAGTAGAGTTTTATTATTGTGTTTATATGAGCAAATTTCAAACTATTTCTCGTTATAAATCCAAGTGTTCTGAGGGGGTTCGTCGACGTCTTGTCAACATGTACATTAAAAGACCCTCACCATAGAAATGCGCGATAGGCAGTCAGTCCCAAGTTCATAATCAAAATTGATGGTGTTACGTTTCTGGCTATATGTCATTACCTGACATTTGGAAGTATTCAGAATCAATCTATTAGTAGTACACCACAAATAGAGTTTATTTAAGTCTAACAGAAATGAAATGCAATCCTGTTCACTACCAATAGTAGTAAACAACTTCAGATCATCTGCGTACAATAGGGCATTCGTGCTATAGCTCATTGGTAAGTCATTCACAAAAATATTGAACAGTAGAGGGCCAAGTATGGATCCTTGAGGTACGCCACTAGTGACGCTTATTTTTCTCGATTTAATACCAGCTAACTCGACGTATTGTCTTCGATTTGACACATAGGATGACAGAAGCCGTATAAGAGAACAATCACACCCAAACTTCTCCAACTTTTCCGTCAACAAGAACAGGTCTAAACAATCGAAGGCCCGTGAGAAATCCGTGTATATGACATCCACCTATCCACGGCGATCTAGTGCCCTAGATACGTATTCGGTAAAACTCAACAGGTTAGTGGCTGTGGATCTACCTTTGCAGAAACGATGTTGATGTTCAGACATTCGTGCTTTGGTGTAGAATTCCTTCTTGTATGCTACGATTTGTTCAAACAGCTTCGCGAAGTTATTTATAATAGCTATTGGCCGGTAGTTCATCACACAGCACCTATCACCTTTTTTGAAAACAGGACAAATTCTGCTCAATTTCCAGGTTTCCGGAAANCAGTGTTTGTGTACTTCATAATTTTATTAGGAAAAAAGAAGGCGTACTATATGAATTTCGAGAATCAGAAAATGAAGAACCGGAGTTAAACATTGTCAATGACATAGATATGGATAAAGCTGGTAATGAGAATGTACCCGAGGCAAGGAATCCAACACCATCAAATTTGAGACATTATCTTTCAAATCAATCCTTTGCCATGGCAGTGGAAATATTATGTAGATGGCGAAAATTCATAATTACTAGTGTAAGCTAATTGCATATAAGCTCATGTTGTACTAATTTTTTTTTAAATAAATAAAGTAAATAAAAAAACACTTTCTTACCTGTGTCATTCATTCTCTTCCCCACATTCTCCCACGCCAAATCAACTACATCTCTCTTGCTATAATCACTAAGATTATAATTGTACAATACCGGATATTTCTCTATTTCTTGCACTAATTTAACGCTGAATGCTTCAACATCCATTTTGCTTAAAATAAAGAAAATAATGACGATACATACAAAAACCAATGCAACTGATCGCGGTGCGACCGACATGTCCAGTCGCATACAACCAGTCGTATGGTTGCATCAGTCGGATTGCGCTAGTGTGAATGCTTCTACGAAATCCTTATGGATCAGACTGATGCAACTAGTTGGTTGAGTCGGTCGTGTGAGTTGCGTTGCAGTAGTGTGTAAGCTGCCTCACAGTTGCAACTTTCTAATGTGTCAAGAAGTCATCTTCATTTTGCTCTAAATGTTCTACGTTCGTATTTGAACTTTTTTCTATGAGCTCTTTGTACCAAGCCAGTTTTTCAACAATCTTCCAAGTTACCTTTTCATTGGTATTACTGTCTATTTTTCTGTAGGCTTTATCTAACAAGTTGTCAATATCCTTAATTTCCAATCGCCAAGCTCAAAAGTAATCCACCTATGGCCAGACATCAACACATTGTCGGAAACTGTCCAATTGTGGACTGAACTTGAGATAACCATGGAGGCTAGAGTGATATCGATAATCGATTGACCTCTGGCAGTTACAAAGGTTGGTTCTGTGCCTCGATTTAGTATATCTAAGTTGCTGCTATAAATAAAATCTAAAAGGGCCTTACCTCTAGAATTGTCGATCGCACAACCCCAAGCCGTTGAGTGCGCGTCTGAATCGCAGCCGACAACAAGATTCCATTTACCTACCCTGGCGGCTTCGACCAGTCGCATCAATCCATCTGATGGAGGCATGTCCTCGATGGGCAGGTAAGCGGATACCAGCAGAATATCTGTATCCTTCCGGTTTACAGTTGACCATATCCTGATGGTAGTGACGTCCTTGCCAGAAAGATGGGGCAGCAAATGGTACACCACATGTTTAGGAACGTAAATAGCAGTCCGAACCTTCTCTGCCCTAGGACGGCTGAAAATAGAACCGCTTAAACTACTGAGTCCACAAACCCTGGATTTAATAACCCAAGGGTTCTAAAGGGTTCTTGGATCAGTGCAATAACATTATTAAACATATCAAGGTGGCGACAGAGGGTGGTGGNAAAAAAAATCAAAAATTAAGGTTGGTATTAATATTTAAAAATTAAATTGCTATCTTCATTGTTGCTAACTTCGGGTTTAATGGTTATTATTCTAACTTTTTTGCTTTTTGAGATAAGTGCGTCTTGTTTGGACTCATTTTAAAAGTTTTTTTAATAAAGAATACATCATGATAAAACACCATGAAGTTGTCCATTTGTCTATTGTATGATAACTAACTTCAGATTTAAAATGTCAACCTAAATTTTGACATATTTGTAATCTTCATTAAAAATCCTTTAAAATAAGTACAAACACGACATATTTATCTTCAATATTAATGAAGTTATCGTCAACTTCCGGTTAGAAATGTCAAAGTCAATTTTGACATATTTGTAATTGTCGTGAAAAATCAAGGTTGGTATTGATATTTCAAAATTATGTTGTTAATTTTAATGTTGTCAACTTTAATATTCTCTATTACAACTTTGTTGTTTCTCGAGATAAATGCATCACGTTTGAACTCATTTTAAAGGTTTTTTAATAAAGAATACATCATGAAAGAACACCATGAAGTTGTCCATTTGTCTATTATATGATAGCTAACTTCAGATGTCACGTAACTGGTTCGTTAGAACTTTTTCAGATTCCACTATTCGTACGGTTTGAAATTTTGGTAGCATCAGTTGTTCNTTTTTTTAATAAAGAATACATCATGAAAGAACACCATGAAGTTGTCCATTTGTCTATTATATGATAGCTAACTTCAGATGTCACGTAACTGGTTCGTTAGAACTTTTTCAGATTCCACTATTCGTACGGTTTGAAATTTTGGTAGCATCAGTTGTTCATTCGAAACTTTCGATCTAAAATATTTTCAAGATGGCCACCACTTCCGGTCTACCGGCAGTAGACCATAACTTCATTATTTTAAATGGAATGCTATAGTTTTTATTACATCGTTTAATTGTAAGTAGAAAAATAGGTTGACTTTGATAAAAGTTATTGGTACCTAGCGTTTATCGTTTTCGAGTTATTTTGGATTACTCTTCAGATGCTGTCAAATAGATTGTCATTTGTTGTATGGGATTATCTTATACAGGTGGCCAAAAATTGAATTACTGTTTCTCCATATTCAATGGCGAAAAAGTCGAAAATTTTGAATGGAAGGCCCCATATTTTTTTAGCCTGTCAGAAAGGGAATTTAATTCTCTACAAATTATCTATAAACATTCCTCTAAGACGCCCGGCTAAACCTAAAACTTTCTAGGTCTAGTGTTAGTTCTAGTATTAATTGTTATTTAACCCTAAATTCTTGTACATTTTAATTGATATAAAAATATTGTTTTTGATTTAATCCACTTACCTTGCTTATAATTTCATCCATTTGCCATTTTGAATTAAATACAACCTTTAAATCCAATTGATTATGTGTTTTTCATTAAAAAAACTAAAATTCAACGTCAATTTTGACAAGCAACTGCAATATTTGGATCTTAATCACCATGGTAACCGAGTCAAGTTGGATAACCTTAAAATAATAAAATTTTTTTCGATTTTTTTATCAATTCTAACCTAATTTTTATTAATTTGAAAACAATTCGAATTCCTTACGATTATCTCGCATTTTTTTTAATATCTTGATATTTTTGTGTAGAAATAAAAACATAGAAATGTCAATTCTTCTAATGACGTGACAGCAAGGCCTTTGCGGGGGATACGTTCATAACAACAGCGTTTATAGGGAGTTGGAAGTTGGATAACCTTATACAGTATGTTTACTCGGTCCGTTGAGTAAACAACGTTAAACAACATTAAATAAACTTAACTTGTCATAAGTGACAAGTGACACTTAACCTTAATTACTACAGATTGAATTAAAGAAAAAATTGTATATTATATTATTTGTAAATCCTTTATTAAGTACTTTAGAATAAATACCAAGAGTTATGAATAACATTAAAAAATACTTTTATCCATAACAAACTTAATATGAGTACCTTTAGCTAAAATTTCATTATTTTTTAAGTCACTTAAATCAGCTTCTAAAAAAGCTAAATTTTTTCCTAATTTAATAACTCTAGTTTTAATCATAACTTTTTCTCCATACTTTACAGGTTTATAATAATGCATATTAATAAGGACCGAAACGTGACTTTTTGTGTATAAAATCGTAGATAATCCAAAGCTCGTCATGGTATCTACCAAAGTAGTTGAAAATCCGCTCGAAAGATGGCCGTACTCGTCGCAATTATCATCGTTTACCGTGAATGTAGCTGCACATTGACCGCTATCAGCCGAAATAAGTTTTAGCTAATTATAAGAAAAAACGTTATTTTTAAGGTTGAGTAAAATTTTAAATAAATATTTATAATAACCTGATTGATAATAAACGGATCGAAACCTTTTCTCAATTTAAAAACTGTGGCAATTGCTTGTAACCGTAGTTTTTGTACAAGATTGCGTAACATGTTTTCACCAACTTTTCACTACTTCTCGTATTTGTAACTACAAATACTTAAATGAATCAGTTTGGTTAATAAAATTGATTCAGTTCAGATTTAATTTTAGATATAATTTCGCGGCCTTGATGTACAGATAACTATTATTGAGAAATTTATCAATAAATTGACTTATTACCCTTCAACTTAAATAAATCACGTGTAGGCAACCAACTTTACATCTTAAGTCAACAACTTTCATATTTTGAAGAATAGTGATAAAGCTAAAGTTTGCTAAAGTTATCTAAACTTTTATCGTTTGTCAGCAGTTTTTTTTATCTTGTGTCCTGGGGCAAAATGAACAACGGAACCTTTTCTTAGGAGTAACAGTAGCACTACTATTTTTATTATGTTTCAATGCCACAACGTTTCAAACTGTGTTCCACTGGTTCCTGTAATGTTTGTATTGTACTTCTTCTTTTCATGTGTTGTTCAAGGAGAATGAAAGCTACAGGTTCTTATAAAAAGTCGTCTGCCATGTTTTTTATCTTTTATTGCGTATGAATTCGTGCTGTTGTACAATACTAATGCATTTGCAGCACTTATGTATATTTAGCATCCTGTCATTGGCCACCTCCTCGTTGCTCTTTGCACTGAATATTGGAAAGCAATTGCGAAACTTTACAACCAATTCAATTAAACGTGAAAAAAGGGCATTTCTATCCCAATTATCACTAGAGTATAATGCCCGACAGGTTTGGAATACGTTCAGACAGTTTGGCGTTGCTCACAGGAGATCCTAAGTGACTTGTGCTTTTACTGACGTTAGTTCAAAGGAAGAAAGAACGCCATGAGAAGTGCAAACTCAAAATCTCTGATAGAGAAGACACTGGACCAAGTAACATAAAAAGTAATTTAGTTGAAGGTAAATAGTATTTATTGCAACTTAAAACGACGTAAATGAATAAAATAGTACTATTTTCAATTATTTCAATCTTGTTCTATAGGAATTGAAAACTCATCAGAATCAACCATTGCTAGTAAAGAACAGTTTTCAATTAACACCTCTCAAAAACGACCTGCAAGCGCTTGCTCATCTACATCTTTGACTTTATTTGCTGAGGATGATTCGGCTGTTGTAGGTAAAAAGCGGAAAACGAATGCTAATACAAATTTGGAAAGCTTTATTGTTCGAACGGATATTGATAAAAAACAAGAAATAGATAAACAAATTGCAAGAGCTGTACTTGCAACAAACAGCAGCTTTAGATGTATGGACAATCAACAAGTAAACAAAGCAATTGAATTGTTAAGACCCGGGTATAATCCCCTTTCTGGAAAAACAATTTCTACAACACTTTTGGAACAAATTTACGAAGAAGAGAAAACTAAATGTTGTGGAAGTCTTACTGGGTGTTGCGTAAACATATCTATTGATGGTTGGTCTAATGTACGAAATGAACCTATAGTTTGCGCTAGTATAACCATTGACACTCTTTTTTATATGAAACTATAGATACATCCGGAAATCCCCATACAAGTGACTATTTAACTGAAATTGCTTGCAATATAATTTCCTCATGTAAATCAAAATATAACTGTAACGTGACATCATTTGTAACAGATAATGCTGCTAATATGGCACTAATGCGAAAAACCTTACAAGAAAAATTGGACCCCAGCATTTCAGTGATATCTTATGGGTGTTCAGCTCATCTTTTAAACCTACTTTGCAAAGATTTAGAAGTAACAAATATCAAAGAGCACGTTACACAAATTATAAAATATTTTAGAAATAATCAATTAACGAGCTTGATGGAAAAGCATTAGTGCTGCCAAGTGATGTGAGATGGAATAGTATGGCAGATTGTTTGGAAGTATATGTAAGTCAATGGGATAAACTATTAAAAGTGTGTGATGAGAATAAAAACGAAATAGATTCGACAATATACAAAAAAGTTTCAAACATTGGTCTCAAACGCTCAGCGGAAGATTATTTGAATGTCTTAAAACCCATAACTATAGCACTTGACAAATTACAAAAAAAGAATGCTTTCCTCTCTAATGCAGTGGAAGTATGGGAAGAATTGAAAACATTACTCGAGGAAAAATTATCATCTGTACAAATGAAAGTTTTTGATAAACGGTATAAGCAGGCACTTACGTCTAACTATTATATAGCCTATATTTTAGATATTACTAAAACTATGTATAAGTTAACATCTGTATAAAAAGAGGAGGCCTTAAATACAATCAATCAAATGTATGCTAATACCGGTTTACTACCGCTAATTATAAAACTAGAAGCAAAAATGGAACCATTTTCATCAGTAATGTTTTCGGAGGAAGTCTTATGTAATGTAAGTGCTTTACAATAGTGGGTATCACAAACACACATTGCTGAAGTAGAGAAGGTACTGCCAATATTAAAGCAATTTTTATGTGCGGTTTGTTCATCTGCTTCTGTTGAGAGAATATTTTCAACATTTGGGCTTGTTCACGCTACTTTACGAAACAAGTTAGGTGTTGAAAAGGCAGGAAAACTTGTTTTCTTATATAAGTATTACAATGAATCTTAATTTTTGTATTAAATGTTTTTTTAATTTTGTAGTAAAGTGCACTTTAATTTTCAGTTTTGTTTTTAATTTAAATCATTGATTAAAATAAATAAATCATTTGATTAAAATCATGATTTAAATCAGTCGAACCCTGTCGCTTACCCATTATTGACCAGGAACTCTCGTTCAGTATGGCTTCAGAAGTAGCGGTACTTAACGCGTTGAACGCTATAAAAACAAATGCTGTTGGTTGTGATAATATAAGTAGGCTAATATTGCTGATGTGCTGTCCTACCATCCTTCCCTACTTATATCACATTTTCAATTTTTGTCTAGAGCATGGTGTATATCCTGATTTGTGGAAGATAGCTTCGGTTATTCCGGTACCTAAGAAGAGCAGTTGTAAGGATTTGAACGATTTCAGACCTGTTAGTATTCTGACAGTGCTTTCAAAAGTTTTTGAGAAAATTATTGCTGCCAGAATTTGGAAACATGTTGATTCATTTCCCATTCTATCTAACAAGCAGTTGGATTTTCGAAAAAGATTTAGTTGTTACATCTGCTCTTCTTGGCGTGACGGATGATATGCTAAGAGGAATTGATAGCGGGTGTGTTGTTGCTTGATTTTTCAAAGGCATTTGACACTCTACATCACTTAACTCTTATTTCAATATTGCATTACGTAGGGTTCTCTCCGTTTCGACCATCGATCTCAGTTTGTAAAGGTGCACGGCAAGCGTTCTAAGACAATCCCTATGATATCCGGTGTACTTCAGGGGTTTATTCTGAGTCCGATATTATATTTAATATACACATTTAATCTTACTAATCAATTAAAATTTTGCAAAAGTCATAAGTATGCAGATGATACGCAAGTTTATTATACCTTTGATAGGGAGAATGATCGGAACGCAGAACTGACTTTGATAGACTGCTTGGTTATGTTAAGAGGCACTGTCTTACTATTAATTCTACCAAGTCGTATGTTGTTGTTTTTGGTCCGGATGTGGTGAAGGATTCTTTAGATATGCGACTTGACAATGTTAAACTTGGTATTTCATCTGAAGCTCGTAATCTTGGAATCATTTTCGATTCAGATCTGAGATTCAAGACATATTAGATTCTGCTATCAAGATCTCATATAGTAATAGACATATCTTGAGCCAGAAATTTAGCTCTTTTTCATATTTGTTATGTTTGTGATTTTTGTTGTTACTTTAGCAATCTTGACAAGATAATCACAAATGTGGTTTTGTAGTTTTTCCCTTGATGTTTATTAAATCTGTAAATATATTATCTATGCAGTTTGCGGATCCTGGTGATACTTTAGGAAGGACTGGAAAAGATGCCTTCCATTCCAAACATATTGAATATATTACGAACCGCCATGGAATCTTGGTTGCTATGCATAAAATTTATGTTAAAATCTCTGGAAAGTAGCACTCTATAGTTAGGATACGTTTCTGCAATGTATACCAGGTACCATTTCAGTTTTTCCTTGAAGATGTTTAAGTCACCTAGCGGTGATCGATATAGACAAATAACAATGATGTTATATTTTTTCAGGGTTATACTTGTAATTTCCATATCCTTTTCCTTACTGGCGTGGACTGGATTGAATCTTTTATTAATATTAAGACACCGCCATGCTTATACTCTACAGAAGGATGATGCAATGTTGTATCCATTGATTCTCAATATATTCATTGTTGAGGTGTCCAGCCAATGTTCAATGATACATCTTATAGTAACGGAAGAATACATGGAAGGAACAAAAATTTATAGCTAAATTTAAAACGATGGGGTCATTGACCCCATATATGGACTCCGAAGGTTAAATATCAGTTTCTTACAGTTTAAAATTCGGTCTGTATTGTCTCATTCCACACAAGTGATGATTACAACTGAATCTCTTTGAATTAAAAAAAAACAAATTTAAAAAATGTAATATATTTCGATACAAAATGAAATTAATAGTTTATTCATTTAAACCTTTTTATCACTAGGAATGTATATTTATTTAGTTTTATTAAAACACCATTACTTCGATTAGTACTTAATAAGCACTTTAAAACAAATCTAGCTTTATTTATCCTTTTTTGCTTTTGGTTTCTCTTTACTCTTCTTTTGTTGTTGAGTTTCTTGTCCCTTTTTAGAGAACAAAGCGACAATAACTCCCATTAAAAACGTTCCAATCCCAACGTAAACTAACCAACTGTTTTCCTTGATATAAACCGCAATCAATGATGTTAAATCATCGCTAAAATTAAAAATAAAAAGTAAAAACATTATTTTGTTAAAATTAACTTACAATGGAGTTTTTGGTAAAGGAACTTTCTCCGGGGTAACATTTTTGTACCATTCAGTAATGAATGAAACGAAAGACGCAACATCGTACACTTGAATGTGATATCTATACATTTTCCCTTGTTTGAATCTAAGAATAAATTGGAATTTAGATTTAATTCACGATAAAAATTAATTATTATTTACAAAATAAAAGCTGGAACATTATAAACTTCGAATCTTCTCGCTGTTGATGCTCCTGTTGTTAATCGATTTATCCGAGCAATATTTGCACGATTTTTTACTTTAGCTCCAACAGCTTCTAATCGCGCTTGTAATCGTTGACAATCAACACAATCGTTGGAATAACTAAATTTAAAATAAATTGCTTGAGTATTACTATTTTTTTTTTTGAACAATTCAAGAATCATCATATGGCTTAAAAATCGACTTCAAATTAATACAAATGAAACGAGAGAGTAGTGAAAAAACTGTGGCAAAACGAGAAAGTACAGAAAATATGGAACTACTTCCAGTACCAGTTGAACTACCTCTATGTGTTGTTTGTCACAAGGTGCTAGCAGCTGAAAGTATGCTTCCTAATAAATTAAAACGTCATTTAGAAACATCTCACAGTAATTTACAAGGAAAATCGCGATTTTTTTTGAAAGAAAATTGGGAGAAATAAAACAGAATTGTTATCCAGAGCATCTATTCCTCGCAAAGAACTGCTCACCTCTTACAAGGTCGCTCATCGTATTGCCAAATGCAAAAAACCAACAACTGTATGTGAGGATTAATTATTTTGCAACAAAATACAACCGGGAAGGCTTGTGATTTGTTTACAGTTATAGATTCATACATGAAGATATCAGCGCAACATGGAGGACTTCAAGCTCTCATTAAAACCAAGGCTCCAAATTCAAAATGTACACATTGTATCATACATAAAGAGGCTGTGGCTGCAAAAAATATATCACCTGAATTAGCTGCAGGAAAACGAAACGCATATACTGCAACTGGCTGATAAAATTGCAGCAAATTGCTATTTGTGGAATAGAAAAATACAAGAAGGAACAAGGAAATACTGATTGGTTTCCTGTTTTAAAAGGCTTCCTGCAAGAAAAATCTGTTTAAGATCTGAAACCAAGTTTGCAATTGATATTAATTTTATCAACATTAGGCACCTATTTTAATAGATATTTTCCAGAGAATCTTGATCAAAACGACTGGATTAAAGATCCATTCCAATCGACCCCACTCTCATCTGCACTTTCTTGTGACACGAGCCTAAAACTACGATAAGACAAAGACAAACAATTATAAAGACAAATATTTCAATTGTGGAGCAACGTATAATAATAATAAGTCGTATTTGTGTGAAACTGGCTTTTATGCAGTAATACATGAAAATGCAGATCACAAATCAATTCAGAAAAAGAAGGGAGTAGCGATTTCAAAACTTCAACCTCGATTTGAGAAGTTATGTTCAGAAAAGCAAGCTCATCCTTCGCGTTGACTGTTATATTTTCTAATAAATAAACTAAAAAAAAAATTAAAATAGAATCTTTGGAGTTTTCTTCAATTAAATACAAATAATAAATAAAGTAATCTTAATGTCTGCTAGAGCTACAAACAAATATCTTCTTTTAGAAGGGCGTCGCAAAAAAATACAACCTGTAAAGATAGTCGCAGTATAAAAAAGATTGGGAACATCTGACTTAACCTACAAATTGTTTATTTTATAGTCACGCACAAAATCAATCTGATTAACTTAAAAGTAAAGTCATTGTCACTAAACTAGGTGAGATTACAACGTATATTTTCGGATGAAACTGACTATCTGTTATTAGGTAGAGTGTATCAATAGATAGAAGAAACAGAAGAAAGAAACATTCGCATTTAGTAGCACGTCTGTCAAGACAGCTAAACCCGATACTTTCTAGTTCTAGTTTTAGTGCAATCAAAATATGCAACATAGTGATATCTTATGCTAACTACCGCTATCTACCACTGTCACTAGAACTAAAATATTCAGGTTTAGCCGTCTAAAGAGACACATGGCTAAACCTGAATGTTTCTGGTTTTAGGTCTAATGTTAATTCTAGTGCTAGTGTAAAACTAGAACTAACACTAGACCTAGAACTAGAAAGTATCGGGTTTAACCCAACTCGGAATGTACAACCCACCCTGTGCTTGATGCCCAACCCGACATTTGAGAAATTCGCACTGGTTTAAATGTTAATTAACATAATAATAATAATGCTAATTGCCTCAAAAACAAATATTTACATAAATATATACATTCATAACAACTATAGACATCAAGACAAACGGATCAATTTATCGCAATAAGCGATATCTTCCAAGAGACCCAACTGGTAACAGTGTATATGTAATTTTAAATAAATAATTATGGCTACCGAAAAAGTAATACTAAATGATGTGCTAATAAAACTGAGCGAATGAGCATTGTTGAATTATGTAACGGATCGACAGTCAGTTACTACAAGGAAAGAAATAGACACAATAAAGTGCAGCAAAAAATAGATGAAAAGCAGACTAGAGAAGAAAACAAACACGTATAGGTCAAGAAAAAGATAGTTGAAGAGATAGCAGATGGCGCTTCAAGGCATTTTTAAAACTTATTAAACTAGCTGAATTGCGAACAACGGCAGGCAAATCGTTCCACAACGCAATCGACTGCACTGTAAAAGATCTGTAGGTAGATTTCAAAACTATAGACTGGAAACATGAGTGTAGAGTCCGACATTAATCGAGTGGACAAGTCATATGATGCTAAAAAGTGAAAGGCATCAGACAAATAAGCAGGAGTGCGTGTATGGACAATTTTGTATAACATAATAAGCAAACGAAATGATTCACAAGTCTGGCAAGTCATCATCTGCAGATTGTTACGATATGGAGTAATGTGCTGAAACTTTCCTAAATCAAAAATGTACCGTATACAATTGTTCTGAAGTCTTTCCTATTTACCCCCAAGAGCTGCGGACTGATCGGGATACGCAGCATCGGCATAATCAATGTGTGAGGAAATAGCAAAGATTACGACGTACAATAAGAGGAAGGTAGCAACGAAGTTTTTTCAAAGTATCGAAACAGTAGAAAACCCCCCTACAGACTCCATGAACTTGTGGCCGCCAAGACATCGCCGAATCCATTACCACACCAAGATTTTTGACCGTATTAGAAAACGGAATAACGGTGTCGCCTAGCCTCAGTTGAAGGGTAGTTAAGGAATTAAATTGTGCCAGCAAGGGGGGAGTGCCAAATGCAATGGTTTGCGTTTTACTGGGATTCAAATTAAGTTCATGACGTCTAGACCAGTCAAGTACGCTAGAGAGATCGTTGTTAAGATGAAACAAAGCATCTGCGAGGTTGTTAACAGTTGACGAAATATAAAGTTGATGGTCATCTGCATACAAATGATAGTTACACGAGATACCATCACTATTACTATTTATGAAAACTGAGAAGAGCAGATGACCCAGCACACTGCCCTGGGGAACTCCACATTTCATACCAACTGGAGAAGAGAGTACAGATTCCACGCGGACACGTAAAGACCGATAAGAAAGGTAGGACTGGAATCAAGATACACAAGAAGAAGTAACATTAATAGCAGGAGCCTAGTTAACAGGAGGGCATGGTCCACAGAATCAAAGCCCTTACTAAAATCAAGTAACACAACGCTTATCACAAGCAGATCTAATATCATCGGTGATCTTAATTAGTGCTGTAGTAGTACCATGCCCTTCACGAAAAACATACTGGAACTTGTTAATCAGATTAAACTCCTCAAGATATTTCTGAATCTGTAAATAAGCTAAACGTTCAATAGCTTTTGACAACGTAGATAGAATAGAAATGAGCCGAAAGTCACCAACATGGGGCGGAGATTTAATTTTTGGGATAGGAATAACATGGGCTATTCGCCAGATAGACGGAAAAATACACCGTTCAAAAGAACAGTTGAAAATATGTGTTAGGGGTGTAATAACTATATCTAGAATGGGTAAGAGGAATCTGAGTCCAATACCATCGCCACCAACACTAGTGGACTTGGAGTAAGTTAAAGCATCCCGGATCTCAACATCTGTAACCAAGCTGAATGAAAACGAAAGCACGTTGGTAAATGCAAGGATTTCATTAATAGTATTCTGCCTAGTTATGTTACCAACCTCCACAGGAGGATTCGCAAAATACTCCGCTAGAGCAGCAGCATCAAGAGTGGGTTGATCTGTCGGAGACTCTATAACACCAAGTGATCGCATTGTCTTCCAAAATGTCTTATGAGTAACTCAAAATGGAATTTCTACAGAAAATTCTGAAATAAATCAGTAAATTAGGTGGATCCGAATGTAACGTTTAAAGAGGGAGGCCCCACCTCCCTCTAAAAAGATATGTCGCATCTGGGTGACAAATAATCGAGTGTTATACAAGCAATTTTTAAATTTATAATGGAAGAGACACAGAAAGATATCACTCAACAGAAGAATAGTTTCAGTAAATAGTCTTCAGCCTGTAGTATTGTAATCTCCAAGCACTTAGTAGTGTTTTGGCAGCAGTATATAATCTTCTGAAAGCATTATATAGTCTTTGCCAACAATATCTCGCTTCCTCCAAGCAATTAGTAGTCTTTCCAACAATATTTAGCATTCTGAAAGTAGTTAATAGTCTTTTGGAAAGAGTATCTCGTCTTTTCAAGCAGATAATAGTTTCTCCCAGCAGTATTTAGTCTTCTCCAAGCAGATCGTAATCTTTTTTAGTAGTATATAGCGTTCTGAAAGCAATAAGTAGTCTTATGGAAGCAGTATCTCGTCTTTCTGATCAGTTTGTAGTTGTTTGTTAGCAGTATATAGTCTTTTCCAAGCAGATTGTAATCTTTTCCACCAGTATCTAGCATTTTGGATGCAGCAGGTACCTTTTTTGGAGAGCATATCCCTTCTTTCCAAGTAGTTATTAGTCATTTCCAGTAGTATTTAGCATTCTGGCAGCAGTAGGTAGTTTTTTGGAGAGCATATCTCTTTTCAAAACAATTATTAAAGTCTTCGAAAGCAATAAGTAGTCTTGGAAGCAGTATTCCGCCTGTCCAAGTAGGTCAGAACCTTTAACCAATAGGTATTATTTTGAAAACAGTATCTAGTCTTTTCCAAACAAGTTGTGGTCTTTATCAGCAGTATTTAGCATTTTAGAAGCAGTAGCTAACTTTTTGAAATAGTAATAAGGCCATTAAAGTCAATCGATTAGAAACGTCTTTCAAAAAATCGAGTAGTAAAGTTTTCACGTTCAAAATTTGTTTAATTTTTGCAATAATTAACGTAAAAGTTTAAAATTCCCCACCCCCGACTCCAGATGACGTTTTAAGTAAGAAGAAAGAAATCACAGACGTTCTATGTTTTCTTCTAGCGCATTTTATTGATTTGTA